TCTGGATGTGGTTCTATTTTTTAATGGGTCCCTCTTCCCTTCCTCTGCCCTCTCTGTCCTGGCCTCCCTCCCCTCCCCCACCATCCCTAGTCTCTTGCTCTTTCTTGGGCTTCTGTACAACTCACCTTGTATACACTGTGTACACACAACCAGCCAAACAAAACCCAACGGCAAACACTTTACTGTAGGCTGGAGTGTCTCTATCCTGCGGCGTTTTGGGTGGCACAGGGTCTGGAACAGCGCTTTTCAAGAATTCTGGGAGGTAAATGGTGAGGTTGGTGTGTTAGGTGTGGGCTGTGTACCAAACCACCCCAGTATGACATCTAATAGCTTCAAGCAGCAAACACTAATCGTCTTCAATTCCCCAGGATCAGGAGTTTGGGGCCTAGTCCCTACTGGCCTAGGGTCTGTCATGAGGACACAGTCAAAATGTTGACCAGGGTGGCAGCCCTCTGAAGGCTTTTAGCTGCAGGATCCCCTTGCAGGGTGACTGTGGCTGGAGTTCTCAGTTCCTTGCCATTGAGCCCCCATCGTGGAGCTACTTGAGCATTCTTACAACATGGCGGCTGATGTTCCCACAGAAGGAGTGATCCAAGAAAGAGCCGGAGGAGGCCACTAGATTCTAAACTCCTAATCTCAGATATCATATCCCAACATTTTGGCTACACTCTGCTAGAGCAGTCTTGAGATTCAGCATATGTTTACTCAGTGAGAGGGGAATTAAACTTCGCTTTTTCTTTTTTAAACTCGTTTTTTTTTTTTTTACTTTCTGGTACTGGGGATTGGACCCAGGGCTGCTTTATCACTGAACTATAAATCTAACACTTTTTATTATTTTATTTTGAGATAGGGTCTCCCTAAATTGTTGAGGCTGGCTTCAAACTTATGCTCCTCCTGACTCATCCTCCTGAGTTGCTGAGAAAACACCATGTTTTTTTGTTTGTTTGTTTTGTTTTCTTTTTTTTAGTTGTAGTTTGACATAATACCTTTATTTGACTTACTTATTTTTATGAGATGCTGAGGATTGAACCCAGGGCCTCGAACATGCTGGGTGAGTGCTCTACTACTGAGCCACAACCCCAGCCCCAGGAGAAAACACCATGTTTTGAAGGGGAAAGTACATGAATTTTTTTCTTCCTTTTTTTTTTTTTCCTTCCTTCTTTTTGGTACTGGAGACTCACCACAGGGCATTTTACTACTTAGCTACAGCCTCAACCCTTTTTATTGTTTATTTTGAGACAGGATCTTGCTAAGTTTAGGGTCTGAGTTGCTGAGGCTCGCCTGGAATTTGTGATCTTTCTGTCTCAGCCTCCCCAGCTGCTGGAATTACAGGTATACACCCCCACGCCCAGCTGTGAATTCAATTTTTTATTTTTATTTATTTATTTATTTTTTTGGTGCTGGGGATTGAACCCAGGGCCTTGAGCATTCGAGACAAGCACTCTATCAACTGAGCTGTATCCTCAGCCCTTAAAATGTATTTTTAAGTTACTACAGTGACTTCAGGAACTAGCAAACTTTTTCTTAACTTTCTAATTTGAGGATGACTCTGTTTCAGAACTCTTAAACACCAAGGTCCCAGAGTGGGCTTCCAATTTCTAGAGATTGGCCTACACTTGTGGATGAAGTCCTGCATTGTTAAACCTTGCTATTCAAAGTATAGCCATTACTTTGGTGTCCCCAAAAAGCTGATGGAGATGAAGGCCCAGATCTACTGTGTCAGAACCAGCTCTTCATTTTGTTTTTAATGGTGCTGTTGCTGGAGATCAAACCTGGGCCTCACGATGGCTAGGCAAGTACTCTTAATTTGGCCATACCCCATACCCAGGATTGACCCCAGGGGTGCTTTGCCACTGAGCCATATCCCCAGCCCTTTGTATTTTGAGACAGGGCCTCACTAAATTGCTAAGGTTGACCTCAAATTCACATATTTGGCTCCACGTCTTTTTTTTTCTCCTGGTACTACAGATTGAACCCTAGGACCTCTACAATGGAGCTGTAGTCCCAGCCCTTTTGGTTCTCTTAATTTTTTTTTTTTTTTTTAATATTTTGAGACAAGGTCTCAGTAAATTGCCCAGGCTTACATAAAAAATTTGTGATCTTCTTGCCTCAGCCTCCCTAGTCACTGGGATTATAATCATGTGCCACCATGCTCAGCCAGAATCCACTTTTAAATAAAATCCTAGCTGGATGCAATGGCACATTACCGTAATCTCTGCTACTTAGCAGATGAGGCATGAGGATGGCAAGTTCCTGGGCAACATAAAGACAGGTATGTCAGAATTTTTAAATCAACTGGCAGTACTGTAGAACCCAGTCTACAAAGTAGTGAACAGGCTGTCATTCTAGAACCTGGGTGCTCATTTTCAATTCAGACCACAGGTGTTCCAGACATGTTGTGAGGCAGGGTGGAGACATCAATGTCCTAGGTTCCCTTCCAAATGAACTGAGGAAGAACTCTTGCAGTTCTAAAACCTTGGTGTTGTCTAGGTAATCACATTGCAGATTTCAGAACGTGGGTCTTCAGAATGCAGGATGGACAGCAGCATTCAAGAACTGCAATGGGAGAGTCACTGATGGACCATGAACTTCCTAGAGAATCACTGAGCACTGAGGGTGGACTACTGGTGTCCTTGAACTGTGGCCTTTAGCATGTGAAAGTGCAGCCACTGATGGCAAGTGACACACTTCAGTTTCTGGATTAGGCTCTCAAATGGGCCAAAGGCACCAGGATTGGCATTGTCCAGAGATCAGACATAGTGGACGGAGTATCTTGAAGGTGATTGATGGGGCAAGGATCATTTATTCCTTTAGCAGTAGCAAAACATTCGCTGGCCTTTGGAACCCAACTGCCCAAATTTGAATACTGGCTGCCGCCAAGCAAGTTGGCTAACAGCTCCCATCCTCAACTTTGTTTTGTGTAAAATGGGCTACTGTCACTGGGAAGATGAAGTGCTTTGAAGCATCTAGGATGGTGCACAGCTCCTGCTCTCCATGGCAGGAGAACCCAGGAGGCTTGGCAGAGGTCTAAGACATGACAAAAAGAAAAGGCAGGCAGGAAAGATGAATAAGGACAAGGACATCAAAATGGGAGAGACTTAAAAATCAATGTCGGGGTTCGCCAAAATGCATGGGAGGGCAGGAACCTTACAGAGAACTTAGCACCAACACATGCCTAGGGACATACCAGCCTGTTCAGTATTGTCTGAAGTTTTTAGAATGGCATTAACCATGAACCTTCCAAAAATGGCCTGCCAGTTGTCTTTTTTTTTTTTTTTGAACCTTTATCTGGCCACAAACAGGAACTTGTCACCTTCTCAATGTGTATCTTGGTCCTGTAAGAAGGTGGGTGTCTGGAAGGAATTCAACAACACAGGAAAGATTCAGATCTACTGGGGAGTGTCAATAATGGGACCCTGGGGAAAAGAAGTTGGCAAAGGACCCCCAACTAGGGCTGAGGTAGAAGTGTCAGACCTTGTCTGGAAACGTGAGAGAAATGTTTCCTCCTGTAGTTCACATTCCCCCACCCAGCAGGGGTGGGCCCCTTCTTAGAGAGGCGGGGAGTGAACCTAGCACAATACAGCTGAGCCACAGGCGGAAGGTTGAATACAGGCCAAGGATTCTGTGATAATGAAACCCGGAAAGGGATATTCACTAATCAGTGTTCTAATCTGGAATACAGAGGGACATTCATGGTTCTGGGGCAGAACAGAGAACAGTGAGACATGGTCATCAAACATGAGCACTTAGTGTGGACCAGGTACCGAGATCCTTCCCGCTTTGTGATCATCTCAGCCTTTCACCCACCCTGCAGAGCAGCTATGTGATCACCCCCCTTTCATAGAGGATCCTGAGCTGGATTTGTTGTTTTTGGTGCTGGAACCCAGGGCCCCACTTGCTAGGCAAGCACTCCACTAACGGGCTTCATCTCCAGCCAGAGCTGGATTTGAATGCAGGGAGCCTGGCCCCTGAGGCTGTGCCAGGCCATACTGTATCTGTACCACAACGCAGGTTCTGCGTTGGGAATGAGCTGTTTAGAGATCAAGGACCAGGGCAACAGGTTGCCGACTAATGGCAGGTGGCAGGTGAAGGCCTAAGTTCTAGGGCAGGTGGACATCTCAGAGGAGGTTTCTGGCCTGTTATAATGTGTAGGTGTTGGGGTTCAAAGATTTTCAGTCAGAGATGGTTGGGAGGTGGGTGGCTGGTGGTCTCTTGGCTCCAGCCTTCCAAGTCAGCAAATCTGGGGCCGGATTGAGGGTCTTAGATTGGATGTGGTGGTCAAGACACACATTAGCTTTAGATTTACAAATCCGAAGACCACTTGCTTAGTCTGACCTAAAGACATTCTGTATTTCCACCTCCTGTCCCCCACAGACCAAAAGAGGCTCAGATGGGGTGTTCCACATGAGTCCCAAGATGGATTCAGGGCTTAGATTCAGATGTCAAACCCATTGGGAACTTTCTGGAACTGAAAACTTGACTGATATCATTCTGTCCACCTGTCTGCTTTGCTCTTCCAGCCAAAAGACCTTTCTCAATATAGACTGTGCCACCATTTGTAGTATTTGCCTGTTTCCAAGGTCTTAGAACATTGTAGAACAGTACTGTCCAGTAAAGCTTTCTGTCCTTGGTCCCTCCTCACTCTACCTGCCTTTCAGGTTTCTTTCTGATAGGGATGTACATTTGCTCCATCCCATAACAGGATAGCCACTAATTAGGTGTGATTATTGAACTCTTAAAATATTGCTGGTGTTCCTGATTTTTGGTCTTAAGTTAAATAGCTCCATGAAGCTTCTGGCCACCCTACTGAATAAGTGCAGTTCTAGAACTTTCCAAAGACATTAAAGTTTAGACATTAAACTTCATTCTAACAAAATGCCCAC